TATATAATTTTGAAATGGTTATAATCTCCTTATAACGTTTATTAAATAATAATTTGTATGTAAATAAATAAATCACAATTAGCGATATAGTTTAAGGTGGTATAATTTTCGGGTTACTGTTTTTTTAACGAGACCTAACTCGTTATCGCTGTTTCCCGCTGTCGAGATATTTGTTGTATAACGATTTTTATACATTAGTTTACACAAGGAAAAAAAAAAACTCGCGCCTACTTGCACCTTTTCTGATACGGTTCCAAAAGATATTTAAATATTTATATTTATTTTTTAAATATATTAATAGACAAAATTTTCAAAATTACTATTTTATACTTTGACGTACATGTGTGCAAAATTACAGATCATTCAGTTTTAAAATAACTGAGATACGGAATTTTGAGACGAAACATACGCGATTTTCCTATAGTGCGCTGCTCTGGCTGTATAGTGGCACTAGCAGTTAGCAGTGGCCGATCGAAAAACATTTTACATTGATAGATGGGAATTGTAAGAAATCGTGAATCAAATGTCATTTTAATGTCTGTAAACATTTGTATTTCGTAATGTATGATTAAAAGTATGTAAGTAAGAATTAAACAATATAGGTTTAGTTGTTATATGGGTAGGGTATGCACCTATGCAGTGCTTGTTTGCATCTATAGTGTGCACGCCACTGCCAGATGCAGTACAAGCAGGGATTTAGAAAAACCATTAATTCCTATAGATTATTACAGTATGATGATTACAGCCAATATAAAAAAAAATTAAGGAAGCTTAAATTTTCTAATAATTGCTTATTTTCGTTTGCTTCTTATTTGTTTATACTAATAAAAATAATAATAATACTTTGATTATGAAATTAAAAAAAATATATATATTATAATCTTTAATGATATTTCAATCATTTAATATATTTATGCGGTATATCCATGTTCACATTTAGATTGAGAGAATCCATGAGTTGAAGGATGTGACTCTAGCGAAACCGGCGGGGTGTCCACGAGTGCATCCATCACGATGACCGAAAGATGTAACACCAATCTGTAAGAAATAATCATTATTTTAAGAAGAAATCAAATGATATATGAAGTGAAATGCAAATACATACCAGTGTGTTGCTAATAGCCAGGGGACCACCAGAGTCTCCTCCACAGGTACTACGTCCGTTAGGAGTAGCGACACAAATGTTGGAAGCTAGGATGATGCTTCCATAAGTAGCTCTGCACACATCATTGGTGATAACTTGCAAGTTAACGTGTCTGAGGCTTGTTGAAACACCAGAACCTGAAGAACGTTAAAATTGGTATCGTTACTTAAAAGTAATCGTTTTAAAAAACGAATATTAAAATACCGCTGAAATAACTACAACACTAACCGTCAGCATAACGACCGAATCCAGACGCAGTCGCCCAAGATCCAACATATTGGTTGCTTCCACTAGCGAGACCAATGTTCCTAATGTTATCTGGAATAAAATTTATCAGTTAAATATGCTACATATATTAATCTTCTTGTACATAGTTGTCTTATATAATATACAATAACTCACTGGAGTAGCTGACGGAGTTTATGATAATGACAGCAATGTCATTGGCAAGAGTCCACATGTTGTAGCTTGGGTGCAGGCGGACATTGCTGGTGTTGATACGAGTACCACCGGAATAAAGCTGGATTGAGCCAAGAACAACGGTGAATTGACGAGCTTGCGCGGTAGTGGTAACCCAGCAGTGAGCAGCCGTAACTAATCTGGTGTTGCTGATGAGAGAAGCACCGCAAACTGATTGTCTGCCGTCAACCAACGTGATGACTAAACCAGCCTAAAAATAATATAACGGTAAAATTTATGTCTCTAATGAAAAATAATGAACGTGCAGACGAAACTTGCAGTAATATACTTACTTGGTAAGGGAATTGGCCAAGGGACGCGAAGTTTCCTCCTGTGATCCTGCTGCCATCGAAATCAGCTGATTCTTCGGCTTGTTTGATACGAGCAGCTTCATAAACACCTATGGTGTTGTGGTAGTCATTGTCGATGGGCTCGTAGGCTGAAACAGTCACGGCTAGACCGACGACAAGCAGGAGTAGTTTCATGTTGACGGAGACTGAAGACTTAATGTGAAATTGAGAAAAACTTCTCTTTTTATATTGTATGATATCTAATCTTGGTCTTTATGAATATCGTCACTTTAATCTTAAAATTAAATAAAATAATCCTTGCATTGGGAAATCAATTAGGTTTTCCCTATACAGGTTATCAAAAAATAAGATGAATTATTAAAGAATTATGCGATAGTTTTTTTATACCTTTTATATTTCTGAAATTTTTAAGCAATTTTATATATATCTTAACCATGCATAAAGCATCTGACGGTTGCAATTAAGAAAATGGTAATTTATCTCTTATTTCGTATGGTACGTCTTGGGTAAAGGAAATATTTCTCGTTTTTCTTTTTTTGGATTTTTGAATTTTACAGTAAAATCCATTTGTTTCATCATCACAAAACATGCTCAAATCAATTTTCTATCAATTTGCCCATTACATAGAAAAAAAATAGGGATTTTTTTATTTATTATAATATATTATACAGCGATAGAGCGATCTAAATAAATCAAATATGCATGTATTCAATAATATTCATGTATAAATATATAATTATTTTCATAAATTGAAGTGGCTTGGACATAGTGTTTTTAATTCAAAAATAATTAATGAATGATTTCAAACTAACCTGACTAAAGTAAATAAAATCTTGTTTACAATGTCACAGTTTTAGATTTGACTGTCTTATATATTTTTACTATTCATCATGAGTTTTTCACCCTTCTGATAGCATTGGGACGGATTCTATGTTGAAAATAAAAGATTTGTTTGATTATGTATACAATACTTAAAAAGGGCGAAATTAAAAGAACTACTTTCTTATTCATATTTTTTTAGTTTTATGTATTGAATATTTTTTTATTTGTTTTTATTTTTAATATTTCGTCTTACTTACTTACTTTCTTATATAGACACGTCACGTTATATGTCTGTTTAGGTTAAAGGTAGTTTCTTCAAAATCACACTATTTAAATTCTTACCCTTGTTATTCATAAAACTTACTGGCCCGGGCACGCACCAATGTGATTTTTCCGAGTCATATGTTCTTTCTAAGAATATTTAGACATCACTGATTAATGTTGATTCCCAAAGAGGGTTGATGTCAGGCAGGCGGCCGGTCGTAAAAACAATTAGCCAAAACCTATTCACAACATGTACGGCAGACCCTGGCTAAAAGCTGGGAAATTGACAGGTATAAGAAAAAGACATAAGATAACTAATATGCGTACCTACTATTACTTCACTTATAAAGTAATAAAATGAAAACGAATAATATATTTTAAAACACTACCAAAACCTCTTATATCTTTTATATAAAATAACAACGAAACAAATCTAAAAATAAACTATTCAAAGACTGAAAGTCGTGCTGATAAGCACGGTTTGCAAATAAGAATTATTATATTATATAACTTTTTTTTCCTGCGGCCAAACTTACTAAATGTCATAAAAAATAGGTTATAATGTTAACTTTTTTTATTAGGAATGAGTGATAGTGTTGCAAACGTAAGAGTAGACAAATACAATCGAAAATCTCCGAATTGCTAAACTATCGGAAGTTTTTCTGTGTTATTGTGGTTCAACCATAAAAGATAGACATATGCTGTCCAGAAACATATTTTATATAATTTTAAGGAGAATATTTCCGTCATACATGATTTCTATGTAGCTTTAAACCTATAAGCCTGCAAACGCGACGGAAGCTTAAAAAATTGAGTAACTTCACCCGTTTTTTTCCCAATATTTCCCTTCACTGCTCTGCTTCTATTAAAACGTAGCGTAATGAAAAATATACTATAACCTTCCCAAGAGTGAAGAATAATCGTGCCGAATTTCGTTAAAATTCGTCTTGTAGTTTTTGTTTCCACAACGATTATACTGACAGACAGACAGACAGGCAAAAATTTTACTGATTGCATTTTTGGCATCATTAGCGATCCCTAACCACCTCTCGATAGTTATTTTTTAAATATATTTTATGTACAAAATTGACTTCTCTACAGATTTATTATAGGTATAGATTAAAATGTAGTGTTTTTTTATTTTTGTTTATACTCGTACATGCAGACTGTTATGTGACGGTGTCACGGTGGTTTATACGGTGTAATCAGAGGACGCCTTAGCTGCGGGGTAAACTCGGCTATTCTACACGGGTCCTGACTCAGCAGTTCCGTGTGAAGACAGTTTTTGGTTTTATATTTCTTTTATGTTTTTAGATTATAAGATTTCTTTTAAGAATTTGATTAAATTAATGTCACTATTTGTTCAACCTTCGTGCAACATAGTCACACCCTAGTTATAACTTACTTTTAATTAAATTAAGTCAAATAATTTTTGGTTTCATTGCATCCACCGACCGTCGAAAATCATAATTAGACCGATAACAGCTCTTAGTTTAGAAAATAGTGAGTTTCTTTAGCAAATTTTAGGGCACTATAATGTCAAACTTACAAATTATGTTAGATTTGAACGTCCAATTTTATGATAATGATTTTTTTTTTTGTCTTATTGGTCATTTCTCGCATATCCCATAATTAGTTGAACTACTAAGTCATAATAATTCACTTAGATATTAAAAATGTTTCGTTTTTTAAGTTTTAGATTAAATAAAAAAGGGGATTTTTTGGACAGTATCAAAGAAGTTATGTTCTGAATTCAGTTTTTATTAATATTTCCAATCATTTAATCAAAAAATCATCGCAACTCATCTCCATGTTAGCAGATTAGATGGATCGGATCCATGAGTTGAAGGATGTCACTCTGGCGAAACCGGCGGGGTGTCCACGAGTGCATCCAGAACGATGACCGAAAGATGTAACACCAATCTGTAAAAAATAAGCATTATTTTAAGAGGAAATTAAATGATGTATGAAGTGAAATTCAAATACATACCAGTGTGTTGCTAATAGCCAGGGGGACCGCCAGAGTCTCCTCCACAGGTACTGCGTCCGTTGGGAGTAGCGACACAAATGTTGGAAGCTAGGATGATGCTTCCATAAGTACGTCTGCATACGTCATTGGTGATGACTTGCAAGTTTAACGTGTCTGAGGCTTGTAGAAACACCAGAACCTGAAGGACGTCAAAAATTGGTATCGTTACTTAAAAATAATCGTTTTAAATAACGAATATTAAAATACCGCTGAAATATCTACAACACTAACCGTCAGCATAACGACCGAATCCAGATGCAGTCGCCCAAGATCCAACATATTGGTTGCTTCCACTAGCGAGACCAATATTCCTAATGTTATCTGGAATTAAATTTATCAATTAAATATGCTACATATATTAATCTTCTTGTACATAGTTGTCTTATATAATATACAATAACTCACTGGAGTAACTGACGGAGTTTATGATAATGACAGCAATGTCATTGGCAAGATTCCACATATTGTAACTTGGGTGCAGGCGGACATTGCTGGTGTTGAATACGAGTACCACCGGGAATAAAGCTGGATTGAGCCAAAGAACAACGGTGAATTGACGAGCTTGCGCGGTAGTGGTAACCCAGCAGTGAGCAGCCCGTAACTAATCTGGTGTTGCTGATGAGAGAAGCACCGCAAACTGATTGTCTGCCGTCAACCAACGCGATGACTAAACCAGCCTAAAATAATATAACGGTGAAATTAATGTCTATAATAAAAAATAATGAACGTGCAGACGAATCTTGCCGTAATATACTTACTTGGTAAGGGAATTGACCAAGGGACGCGAAGTTTCCTCCTGTGATCCTGCTGCCATCGAAATCAGCTGATTCTTCGGCTTGTTTGATACGAGCAGCTTCATAAACACCTATGGTGTTGTGGTAGTCATTGTCGATGGGCTCGTAGGCTGAAACAGCCACGGCTAGACCGACGACAAGCAGGAGTAGTTTTCATGTTGACGGAGACTGAAGACCTAATGTGAAATTGAGAAAAAACTTCTCTTTTTATATTGTGCAATATCTAATCTTGGTCATTATGAATATCGTTTATTTTATCTTAAAATTAAATAAATAATCCTTGCATTGGGAAATCAATTAGGTTTTTCCCCAAACAGATTATCCAAAAATAAAATTAAGTATTAAAGAATTTGGTGATAGTCGTTTAATGTATTGAATTAGTTTTAAATTCACAAATTTGAAAATTCACACTTTTCAAAGAAAGTCTGTTCGAAATAGCATTTTTTTTCTGATTTTAATTATTTGACTGTTTGTCATACACTCGGCGGCGCGTACTCCTGCTTTTTATACCTTTTTATGTTTCAACATTTTTTTAAATCATTATATATAAATATTAGACCCTGACTACAGCTGGGAAATTGCCAGGAAGAATATAGGTATAATTTAACAATGCATAAGGAATCTGACGGTTGCAATTAGGGAAATGGTAATTCATCTCTTATTTCGTATGGTTCATCTTGGGTAAAGGTAATATTTCTCCTTTTTTCTTTGTTGGATTTTGAGTTTTACAATAAAATCCATTTGTTTCACCATCACAAAACATGCTTAAATCGATTTTCTATCAAATTTGATTTTTCATTTATTATAATATATACAGCGACAGAGCGATCTAATTAATAAAATATACATGTACCCAATAATACCATGTATAAATATATATATATTATTTTCTTAAATTTAAGTTGCTTGGACGTTGTGTTTTTTAATACAAAAATAATTAATGAATGATTTCAAAATAATCTGACTAAAGTAAACAAAATCTTGTTTACAATGTCTCAGTTTTAGATTTGACTGTCTTATATTTTTTTACTATTGATCATGAGTTTTTCACCCTTCTGATAGCATTGGGATGGATTCTATGTTGAAAATAAAAGATTTGTTTGATTATGTATACAATACTTAAAAAGGACGAAATTAAAAGAACTACTTTTTTTATTAATTTTTATTTAGTTTATGCATTTAATATTTTTTTATTTGGTTTTAATTTTTAATATTTCGTCTTACTTACTTACTTTCTTATATAGATACATACATATGTCTATTTAGCTTAAAAGTAGTTTCTTCAAAATTACACCATTTAAATTCTTTCACTTTTTATTTATAAAACTTACAAGATTTTGTATTGCCATACATTATTTTATTGAAAATTGTCAAATAACTTGAATGCAGCCCTTTGTGTAGCCTAGTTTTTTAAATATTATTTCATACTAGCTTTTTTTGCCTGCGACTTCCTCCGCGTGGAATAGTAATTTCGGGTAATAAAGTATATGTAGATAACTGTGCCCGCGACTCCGTCAGCGTGTAACTCCTTGCGTATTAAGTTAATTTATTGTAATATTTATTATTATTAGTATTTATATTGGTAATGTTGTTTAATGACGTTCACATGAGGCTTAACCCTTTATAAGACATAAGATTACTAATATGCGTACCTACTACTATTTCACTTATAAAGTTATCATTACCAAAAAATAAACTATTTCTTTAATTACTACCATAACTTTTAATATCTATTATATAAAATAGCAACAAAACAAATCTAAAAATAAAACTATTCAAAGACTGAAAGTCGTGCTGATAAGCACGGTTTACAAATAACAACTATTGTGTGTCAATAAGGTTCAAAAAGTATGAACGTCTATTGTCATCAACAGCCAAATATTTTATGACGCTCGCGCGGGACTCTCCGCTTTTTTGTACGTCCCGCCGCGATGCGCGTCAAGCGCGGCAACCGATACACAAAAATTATCCTAATAGCAAATGACTCTGTATTCACGCGCGATAACTTATTGTTTCTACACCGATTTACATGATTCTTTTTTTTATTGAATAGGTAATAAGTTACCTTTTTTATTAGGAACTAGTTAACCCGGCGAAACTCCCGTACTCGCCACCAGAAGGCTTCTATATAACATTTCGTTTGCTGATTAAAAGATGAAGATTTCTTTTGTTTTATATTTTTATTTCATTTCACAACAGTAATGAATTCATTTCGATTACAAAAATGAAGTGTTATTTAGTTGAACTTCTCTAAGTAAATGAAAGTGAATCCAAAGTAGATGCCGAATCAAAGCGTTATACGTGTCCGAAAATTATCCGTTTCGTCTAACTTCAACACAAATAAAGCGGATGGTTTCCAAACTCGTGAACACGCAAAATATAACGCCCATGTGAAAAACAATGATTTTCTAAATTTATCCCGCAAATACTAAATGGTTTTAAGAGTTCAAACTACAAACACAATACCGGTTTGTCACATGAAATTAACTGAGCAGAGAACAATGAGTAGCTGTCTTAGCTGTAGCTTAGCTGTAGTACTTAAAATATTAATTTTGTAGTACATGTTATGTATGATAGCGCTGTATGTGAAAAAAGATTTTCCCGCTTTTCTGTTGAATTTTTTTGGTTATAAAAACTCACGGAGCCCGGAGACCTTTCCAAGTTACAGCGTCAGGATTGTCATCCATACGTCATTACATATCTATCATTATATGTCAGTTGCATAGCTGTCAATTGTGTTATTCCACGTTTATAGTGACTGACGTTTCATGTCAAGTCCCACGGGAGTGCTGTCGAACGGGATAAAAAGTATCCTATTGCAAATGTCCTGGTTCTAAACTACCTCCCTGCTAATTTTTAGCTAAATCGGTTCAGCCGTTCTTGAGTTATAAGTGGGGTAACTAACACGACTTTCTTTTATATATATAGATGAGTGATAGTGTTGCAAACGTAAGAGTAGACAAATACAATCAAAATCTCCGAATTGCTAAACTATCGGAAGTTTCCCGTATTATTGTGATTCAACCATAAAAGATATACCTATGCTGTCCAGGAACATATTTTATATAATTTTAAGGAGAATATTTCCGTCATACATGATTTCTATGTAGCTTTAACCTATAAGTCTGCAAACGCGACGGAAGCTTAAAAAATGGAGTAACTTCTCCCGTTTTTCCCAATATTTCCTTCACTGCTCTGCTTCTTTTAATCGTAGCGTAATGAAAAGTATACTATAACCTTCCCAAGAGTGAATAATAATCGTGCCGAATTTCGTTAAAAATCGTCTTGTAGTTTTTGTTTCCACAACGATTATACTGACAGACAGACAGACAGGCAAAATTTTACTGATTGCATTTTTGGCATCATTAGCGATCCCTAACCACCTCTCGATAGTTATTTTTTAAATATATTTTATGTACAAAATTGACTTCTCTACAGATTTATTATAAGTATAGATTAAAATGTAGTGTTTTTTTATTTGCTTATACTCTTACATGCAGACCGATTACAGCTCTTAGTTTAGAAAATAGTGAGTTTCTTTAGCAAATTTAGGACACTATAAAGTCAAACTTACAAATTATGTTAGATTTGAACGTCAAATTTTATGATAAATGAATTTTTTCTCTTAGTGGTCATTTCCCTCATATAATGTTATATCTCACAATTAGTTGCACGACTAAGTCATAATTATTATGATATAAAAAAATTTTCGTTTCCTAAATTTTAGATTAAATAAAAAAGGGGATTTTTTAGACAGTATCAAAAGAAGTTATGTTCTGAATTCAGTTTTTATTAATATTCCAATCATTTAATCAAAAATCATCGCAACTCATCTCCATGTTAGCAGATTAGATGGATCGGATCCATGAGTTGAAGGATGTGACTCTGGCGAAACCGGCGGGGTGTCCACGAGTGCATCCAGAACGATGACCGAAAGATGTAACACCAATCTGTAAAAAATAAGCATTATTTTAAGAGGAAATTAAATGATGTATGAAGTGAAATTAAAATACATACCAGTGTGTTGCTAATAGCCAGGGGGTACCGCCAGAGTCTCCTCCACAGGTACTGCGTCCGTTGGGAGTAGCGACACAAAATGTTGGAAGCTAGGATGATGCTTCCATAAGTACGTCTGCATACGTCATTGGAGATGACTTGCAAGTTAACGTGTCTGAGGCTTGTAGAAACACCAGAACCTGAAGAACGTCAAAATTGGTATCGTTACTTAAAAGTAATCGTTTTAAAAAAAACGAATATTAAAATACCGCTGAAATAACTACAACACTAACCGTCAGCATAACGACCGAATCCAGATGCAGTCGCCCAAGATCCAACATATTGGTTGCTTCCACTAGCGAGACCCAATGTTCCTAATGTTATCTGGAATAAAATTTATCAGTTAAAATGCTACATATATTAATCTTCTTGTACATAGTTGTCTTATATAATATGTATACAATAACTCACTGGAGTAACTGACGGAGTTTATGATAATGACAGCAATGTCATTGGCAAGATTCCACATGTTGTAGCTTGGGTGCAGGCGGACATTGCTGGTGTTGATACGAGTACCACCGGAATAAAGCTGGATTGAGCCAAGAACAACGGTGAATTGACGAGCTTGCGCGGTAGTGGTAACCCAGCAGTGAGCAGCCGTAACTAATCTGGTGTTGCTGATGAGAGAAGCACCGCAAACTGATTGTCTGCCGTCAACCAACGCGATGACTAAACCAGCCTAAAACAATATAACGGTGAAATTAATGTCTATAATAAAAAATAATGAACGTGCAGACGAATCTTGCCGTAATATAATACTTAATATTGGTAAGGGAATTGGCCAAGGGACGCGAAGTTTTCCTCCTGTGATCCTGCTGCCATCGAAATCAGCTGATTCTTCGGCTTGTTTGATACGAGCAGCTTCATAAACACCTATGGTGTTTGTGGTAGTCATTGTCGATGGGCTCGTAGGCTGAAACAGCCACGGCTAGACCGACGACAAGCAGGAGTAGTTTCATGTTGACGGAGACTGAAGACTTAATGTGAAATTGAGAAAAACTTCTTTTTTTTATATTGTGCAATATCTAATCTTGGTCTTTATGAATATCGTTTATTTTATCTTAAAATTAAATAAAATAATCCTTGCA